AAAAAAAAAAAAAAATTTTAAAATAAAAAAATAAAATAAAATAAAATTCTTAAGATCATAATTCATACAATATTATTCAATTAAACAGAATCTTTAAAATAGAAGAAATCTTAAAAATATTTTTAAATATATATATATCATAAAATATAAGCAAAATAAGCAAATAAGAAATATAAATCAAGTGCCTTTGTTATAAAACTAAGAAATGTCTGGAAAATATTGCTTGCAAAGAGAATGGTTGAAGACTTGAGACTATGGTAATGATACATACCTTGAATGGCCTTTAAGACAAGCCTATCATTGGCTTCTTGACTGGTTATATCCTCACGTTCCACAGAATCAGTTCTGCAATTGACATGTTCACGATGATAAAAATGTATTCTTTTGCAATTTTGAGTATGGAAACTCTAAGCTCTTTCCTGTTCCAGACTCAAAGAAACTCTCAGAGTTGGAAGAGTGCTTAGAGATTAGTCAAGTCCCACCTCTGCTTGCTGCTTTAATCCCCAGAAGATTGAATATGCTAAATCAAGAGCTAAAATCCTTAAACCTTCCAAGAACTACCTTTAAACATTATATTCATTTTGTAGCTATTTCAATGTTCTTTTAAAATTATTAAAACTATAAAATGTAAAATCAGTTTTAACTTTCAAAGTACAAAATGTAAAAACGTTATTTTAAAAAGCGAAAAAAAATTGCATGCATTTGAGCAATACAGCACATAACAAAGAAACAGACTTCCTTTAGCCAATTTATGGGATGTGTCCTCTAACACACACACAGTACACCAATTATTGTCATTCTGATATGCATATAGCACGAAGAAACACTCAGCAAGAACAGCATATATACATATATATTCTGTGATTTAAAAATATATATTTTATTATATATTCTGATTATACACATTTTACATTTTATTTATATATATTACTTATATATAAATATGAATATATATAAAACATGTTATTTATACACAATACTTTGCATCAAAACATGTTTTTAAATGAATTTTAATTCTTTTAAATCAGAATATATATTATAAAGCATATATAAATAATATATATTGCAATTGACATGTTCATACATATATATTATAAAATATATATAAGTAATATATGTGTGGGGGCACCTGGGTGGCTTTGTTGGTTGAGTGTCCAACTCTTGATTTCAGTTCAGGTCATGATCCCAGGATCATGGGATCGAGCCCCAAGTTGGGCTCTGTGCTGCGTGTGGAGCCTGCTTAAGATCCTCTCTGTCTCTCTCTCTCTCTCTAAAATAAAATGTGTTTAAAATGTATGTTTTACGTAATAAATATTCTGTGATTTAAAACACTCAAATTCATTTAAAAGCACTTTTTGATTCATACCACTTTTTTTTTCATTACGTATACCAGCAATCCATGAATACTATAAGCAAGTGCTAAAAAAAAAAAAAAGCATGACACTAAAAATGTGGGAAACATTATAATATGGTACTGTAGCCTACCTTTTAAAATTGATAACTTCGGTGGCATTTGGTAAAATAAAGGTGATATAACACAGGCAAATTAATAAAATACCTTTAACAGAAAATGGGACATTTTTTATCTTTATTTAACTATTCCCACACATAAAGTGTATTTGAGTACAATATAGCACATAAAGGAGTCAAATATATCTATGCTTTGTTTTTCGAAAATATAAACCTTAACTAAAGTCAAAATGCTTTAGAACAGAATATCATTTTAAGATAATAAAAAATAGTGTTTTCACTTACTTTCAAAATGACAAGTGCATATTTTACTTACTTGAGAGAATCCAAAGCTATCTGATCAATATTAGTGATTCGAAGTATAAGTAATGTGTTTTCTTTTATGCTTTCTGGAAGTCTGGGATGATCAGAACTCAAAAATGTCAAGTTTGCTCCCTAAAGAAATTAACAGATGAATTATTTATTAATTTTTAATATTTTTAATGTTTATTTATATTTGAGAGAGAGACAGAGAAACAGAACACAAGCCAGGGAGGGGCTGAGAAAGGGAGACACAGAATCCGAAGCAGGCTCCAGGCTCTGAGCTGTCAGCACAGAGCCCGATGTGGGGCTGGAATTCACAAGCCATGAGATCATGACCTGAGCCAAAGTCAGACACTCAACTGACACTCACATGCCCCAGCAGATGAATTATTTAAAGCTAGGAAGTATATGAGAAGTAAAACACACTAATACTAATTTTAAATATTCAATTCTGATTATACGATACATGGTATACTTTTATACTATAAAAAAAGTATATTTAGAGAATATTTGGAAACCACACAGGCTCCAGCTAATAATATTGGAAATTAAGGAAATAATTTCTCAATCTCTCAATTAGAACAATCTCAGATTTAACAATCGATGTGAAAAAAGAACTCCAACTTTCTATAAGAGTCAGAAGAAGAAAGGACAGTTATTTAATTATGGCATCCTTAAGTTTAGAAATACAACTATTGATTCACAGAAAGATGTACTGCAAATTGATGAACTACAATGGATCCATCACCCTCTCTCACCCGGTCTTTTGGAACAAACACCACATAAATTTAAAACTAATTGTAACCTAACTGGAGCAGCAGGGCTTTGGTGAAAAAATTCCTATCAAAAATTCCTAATCCAAACTTAGAAAATTATTATTTTAATCTCTGAGCTGCTCAAATAAATATGGTTGAATATGGACAAACATTAAAATAAGGGACTTAATTATCTCTCTTGAAAATAAGGGGAGAGATTTCTTTCCTTTTTCCTGGAGTATTTACTTTAAAAACTTATAACTATAGTATTTTCTCCATTCTTTAAAATGTATATAAATTCTCTTGAAATGATTATATGAAGCATTGAAAGAGACTATATGATACGTGTAGCAGAACAATGCCTATAAGTACACGTATATATACATTTGTGTGTACATACTTGTACGTGTTCTAAGTCAGAGCATCCAAAGCATGATTGTGAGTTAACGTATGTGGGTGCACTTTTATGCATGAGTGTCTGTGGGCACACGTACATGTTTATATGAGTATTATCTTACCACAGGGCACTAAAATTTCCTTTAGGGAGTGTCTGGGAAAAGACCTTGATGGAGCATACAAAAGTGAAAAGGTAAGTTCCAGGATAACACCTGGAAGGTCCCTGCCCCACCCCCACATAAGACAAGACCTGCCCCCACCCTCGCAAAAAAGGAAATTAAGCCTAATATCCCTGCATACAGAAATGGAAGACTGTGGGAAAAGCAAGAGGTGGAAGCAGTCAGAAAATGGACAGGAGGACTTATATCATGAGAAATGTTTAAGGGACATAGTTTTAATAAAAATGTCTATTGTAAGTTGCTTACACTGATGCAAAATAAACCTCCCTCTATTATGCCCTTCAAAATGTCTGCCACACTAAGGATTATATATATATATATATATATATATATATATATATACACACACACATATATATATACACACGTATATATGTATGTAATACATACACATATGTATATGTGTATATATATAAATTTTTTTAATGCTTATTTCTGGCAGAGAGAGAGATGAGCATGAGCGGGGGAGGGGCAGAGAGAGAGAGAAAGAGAGGGAGACACAGAATCCAAAGCAGGCTCTGGGCTCTGAACTGTCAGCACAGAGCCCAATGCGGGGCTCGAACTCACAGACCCTGAGATCATGACCTGAGCCAAAGTCAGACACTCAACCGACTGAGCCACCCAGACGCTCCCTTCGTTCTTTCCCTCCCCTTTTTCTTTCCTACTTTCCTTCCTTCATTCCTCTGTTCCTCTCTCTCCCTCCCTGCTTTCTTTTCTCTTTCTTCCTTCTCCTCTCCACCCCATTTGTTTCTTGGAAATCATAAAAGGCAGCAGAGTTCCACATCTGGTTCAAGTAATACAGAACAGGGATAGTGAGAATAAATCATAAACTACACTAAATCATTAAAGCAGCAGCTCAAAGCACGAGGTAACTTTAATTTGGGGATAGACGTGAAACGTTCTGTCTGCAGGTTGTGAAATGGGATTTGGAGTTGATGTTCTCTAGATCTCAAGAAGCAGGCTAGACTGACATATGTCTAGTGTATTTATTTAATCCAAGTTTAAGATCTAAAGTTTTTCCTCACCCCAACTCCTCATGTAACTAGTCACAACATCTTATTGATTCTGCCTCCTGAAGACTTTAAATTTTTTTTCTAATTAGCTTCAGAGACACAGCCACTTGCCTAATTCAGGTTGCCGTTACCTCCTTCCTAATTGATATTATTCAGTCCAATCTGGTTCTTTCTACTAGTCTTCAATCCATTCCCCATATTGTAACTAGAAAGATCTTTCTAAGTCACAAAACAGATAATGTCAGCTCCCCTTGTTCCATCCACCTATCATCTTTCAATGACACCCCAATACATTTTAGATAACTCTTTAATATAAGTCTACTGTTAATAAGCTCTGACTCCTCTCTTGCCAACTCTTAACTTGAACTAAAGTTCAGCCAGCTAACTACTTCCGGTTCTCCAAATAAGCCATGTTCTTTCATGCTTTTGTTCTTTGCACGAGCTGTCTCCTCCACCTGGAAGCCTTTCCTCTCCTATCTACTTATCCCAGCCTAGCTAATTCCTTTTCTAGGTCAATGTTGGATGGCGCTTTTTCCAGGAAGCCTCTTTTGACCCAACAAAACTGAATCATTGCCCCTCCTATCCAGCCCTCCTTTTTGACTGTATTTCCCATTAGAGTGTAAGCTCCATGAAAGTAGGAAACTGACTTAACTTATTCACTGTTCTATCTCCAATGTTTATCCTATGAGTAGATATGTTACCTGGATGGTCACTGTGGATAGTGCTACATTTGAGATAATATAAACATAGTAATTTAAAATTTAAGAGCACTAGGGGCTCCTGGCTGTCTCAGTCCACAGAGCACGCGACTCTTGATCTCAGGGTCATGAGTTCAAGCCCCACAATGAGCGTAGAGCTTACTTTAAAAACAAAAATAAATACAAAACAAAATTTAAGAGCACTACACAAACTGTAATATTACCGAAGACCAACCCATTCTAGGGAATCTTTGTTATACACCATAAGTCAGTAGTTGTGTGAGGTGGGGAAATCACAAGGAGGATAAGCTAACTATCAGATATATGACAGCTCCAGAGGCCAAGTATCCCTCTATACAGAGAAAAACATGCATCTTCAGGAGATAAGCCTGCAATTATGAGATGCATTACTCCCGGTACTACTGAAGTAGCCACATACCTAGTGGCACAGCCTTGAAGGCCTTAAAAGTACCAAGAGACAAGTTCTCCCAAACTTACATCTCAGATTTGTGGGGAACGGTAGATTGTTACGGGGAATAAATGCTATGCTTACATTCAGGCCACCGGGATCTGGACCTGAGAGGCAGAACCTCCTGGGGAAAGAGCAACCGTTAGCCACTTACACAAATGCCCCTGCCCTGTAAAGAGTAGAGGTAATAAACTGAAAACTAGAAACCCTGTTCCTCCACCCCCACAGGATCCTACAAAATTCAACATCTGGTATTAAAACATTGGCATACATACATACTTAACTTACAATATAAAAATCACCAAGTTGGTATTGTTTTCCTTTTCTTCGTCCACACTGATGACTATAAATGTTTTTTTGAATAAAAGGTAGCACATTTGTTCTAGAAGTTAAATGATAAAAGTGCAAAGTTAGTCAGATTCTCTCAGAAGTCATCATCTTGAGAGTTGTAACAATGTTTTATGGCATACCTATTTTTCCCAAATTGCCGATATTCATAAATTGTTAGGGACTGGTCATGAGTAAAAAAGAACCCAATCAGCTCTCTGCAAGCATCACGTCCATTTCTAGAAAAATAGAATAATATTAAGGATTTTCAAATAGGCTAATTTTCAAATTAAATAATAAACCAGAATTGTGTATGTCAAAGAATAGCATTACTCTCTTGAATGTATGCCAAAGAGCAAGCATTATGGACAGCTACGGGGGAAACGACCTGGCTTGCTGAAGTGCCAGTTTAAGTAAGATTTGGATGGAGAAAAAGCTTTACCTTACACTGACATGAATATAGATATATTACAATTTAGATTACTATTTTGACATAGAATTTTAAGATAAAGTGAAAATTTTTTTTAAATGTTGACCTTGCAAGAAGCCACTCAAGGATAGATATTTTCATGTTTGCCATTAATAGAAAGTTTAAGGGGCTCCTGGGTGGCTCAGTCAGTTAAGCGTCCAACTTTGGCTCAGGTCACGATCTCACGGTTTGTGAGTTTGAGCCCCACCTCGGGCTCTGTGCTAACAGCTCAGAGTCTGGAGCCTCCTTTGGATTCTCTCTCTCTCTCTCTCTCTCTCTCTCTCTCTCTGCCCTCCCTTCCTTGCTCATGCTCTGTCTCTATCTTTGTCTCTCTCCCAAAAATAAACATTAGAAAAAAATTTTTAACGAAAAAAGAAAGTTTAAAATCACTAAACAAACATGGTAACTTTTAAAAACACACTTCACCTTTAATATACACAAAGAACATCAGCATTTTGTATGATTGGAAGTTTATAAGACAGAGATAACATATGTGAGAATCATCTTTCTTCTCACTTTCCTGTATCTATCAATAATCTACTAGTGATTTAAACCATTAAAGGAAAATCAAATAAAGCAGCTTACATAAAGGTTAATTTTTAAATGGTCTACCATTTTCTACTAGTAGTATATATCATCAAAAAATTCATTTCTAAGTTTCTTTTCGAAAGACATTTTAAAATCACTTTTTAAATAACTTCTAATTAAAATGTCTTATTTGTAGGTTCCTAGTTCCTATAATTTTTGCAACATACTAATATATATTACCTAAAATGTTCATTCTACATTCACATTTTTTATTTAAATGTGACAAAACTAACTAATCTCATTATTCTTATTTCTATTTGAAGAGACTATGTTTTACAATTATAGAATTAGAAGTTTAATAAAATCACAATTACCTTGATATGATCCTACCATCAAACTGTACTTTGTGGGAAAGCATGTTTTCAGTTAATGTAGAATGGGTTCTTATCCTGTTAAGAAATACACTGGTCAATAATTATTTTAAAGTTACTTACACTACACTTGATGTAAATGATGAAGTACGAGAAAAAGTTACGTTGATATTTTGAAACGCACAGAATGAAGACGAAGTTATAACCACCCCCCCCCCGCCTCACCCCGCATTTTGAGTGCTCACTGAAGCCGACTCGGAGGAAATAACCCTGAGATGCAGTGTATAACACATGAATGACTTCTATTTGAATGTATAGTATCAAAGTGCTACACAAGTAAACAGCACATTTGTAACTGGTCCTACCTGCAGCCATTTCTAACCCTGTTCTATGCCTCCCTCCAACCATATAATTTGCTTTTTTAGTTTTTTTCCATTAGAAGTAACTAAGGGACAAAGTCCTGCCAATAACTTCCAGGAAAGACTTTCTTTTACCCTGGTGACAGAGTGTGACATGGGAACAGTTCCTGCCTGTGAATGTGGCAGGGAAAAGATGCCAGCCATCAGGCAAGCATGTCAGAAAGGCCAATAAGATCCTGAGAAAGCCAGCCCAGAGCTGCGTCATCACTGAGCCACTGGCCTAAAACCAACCATTACCTCCAGGCAACTGGTCATGTAAGAAAAATAAATCCTGACTTGTTTAGGTCACCATCCGTCAAGTTTTCAGTCACGGGCAGCTGAAAACATTCCTTACCAACATAACAGAATAATGGAAAAGGATGCTGGAAGAGGCTCCAGCCTTGCGAGAGGTCTAGCTGTAAGACCCCAGGCTGCTTATTTAATCTTATGGCCTTCATGAAGCACAAAATGACCTCACGAAGATTGCTAGTCCTAAAATTTTGTTTAATAATATGAAATAAAACCCAAATATCCACACTTTGGAACCCTGTTACTAGTAATCTCCTTTATATTAAGAAATCTGAAAAATTGGTCATGTGTCTTTACTCTCCTTCCTAAATAATTTTTTGGCACTCCAATAAAACTGCAGGTGTAATGAAACTGCAATAATGTAAATAGTAAGTGAGTATATGAGTCATTGGGATCTTGAAAAGTAATACTTCAATAAAATCTAAGTCTCTATGAAAGGTAAACAGGATACACACAACAAGAGCCTATGGACCAAAGGAGTTTGTGAACACAGGATGGAGCCATGAAAAATTGGTCATCTCGATTCAACCTAATCCATTAGTATTAATGCGCATATTGAATGCTCACTACAGGCCTAAAAAAATTCTAAATGCTGAGAAAAAAACAGCAATAACAGCTACTATTTATTGAGAACTTCTAGACATCAGTCACTATTAAAATCACTTAAATGTGCATTGGTCCATTCAATGCTTGCAATAACTTCATGAAGTACTATTATCCCATCTTACATATAAATTTTACAGAGTCATATAATTACTGCATGACAGAGCCCAACCTTGCTCATAACCATTATATTAGATAGCTTCTCAAAGATGAACAGAATTCAATTTAACAGTGATAGGTTGAAGTAACAGCAGCTTAGAGTCTAGAGTCTCCGTGAAAAGATAAAAGAATAAAACATTTACATCATAAATGGAAAGTTCTATGCTAAGGTTTTAAGTATCCAATAAGTAGTACCAAACACTTCTACCCAAGTTCTTAACCAATACAAAATAAGAATCAGGCAGATGAAGATTAAAATATGTATTTTATTATATTACTAACTATATACTATATTACTATATACTATATACTATTACTATATACTATATACTATTACTACATACTATATTACTAATTATATTACTAACTGTATTATATGACTAACCCACTCATTCCCAGTGGGTAGGGACCCTGCAAAATATAACGCCTTGAGCAGCTTCTGCAGGCAGCTGGCTCCCAAGGAAAAGAGAAGAGGAAGGGCTGCCCTATACCTGCTATTCCCACTTCCAACTCTGAAGCAAAATCCTCTTCTCCTTCTCCAGGAAGAATGAATGTGGGAGGACGAAATCCATGAATTCAGTAATTCTAACTAATACCACTATAGTATTTTTCACTGAAGGAGGCTCAATCTAAAATTTATATTGACAAGGGGTGCCTGGATGGCTCAGTTGGATAAGCATCCGACTTTGGCTCAGGTCACGATCTCATGGTTCATGAGGTCAAGCCCCAAGTCAAGTCAGGCTCTGTGCTGACAGCTCGGAGCCTGGAGCCTGCTTCAGATTCTGTGTCTCCGTCTCTCTCTGCCCCTCACCTGTTCATGCTCTTTCCCTGTTTCTCTCTTCAATAATAAACATTAAAAAACTAAATTAAAAAATAAGTAAAATAAAATTTATATAGAAGAGGAAAGGGCGTATTACATCAAGCCAATATTGAAGGTTTTTTTCTAATTACTCTAAAAGAAAGCAATACCAATTAAGACAGGATGATATTGGTGCAGAAATACACAATAGGGAGATGAGACTAAAGGAAAAGCCTAGACACCAACCACGCATTTATAATAATTTGATATATTAGGACATAAGCAGCATTATGAGTTAGGGGGACAATGAGTTTGTGATAGGTAGAGATTTCCTGAAGATACATAGGGCACTAACGATAAGTGGAAAGATCGGCAAACTGGTCTACATCAAAATTAGTAAACTCCTATTCAGCAAAAGACTTGATCAAGAAAATGAAAAGGTGACCATAGAGGAAGAAAAGATCTGTCCAACAAATATAACTGAAAAAGGACTTGTACCAAGAATATATAAATTAAGTTCCACAGATCAATGCAAAGAAGATAACCCAACAGACTTGAAGGGAAGATTCATGTAAGAGGAGATCTGTTTCATACAAGGGGATACTGATAACACACCCATAAGAACTAAGATGAAAGACACTGACAATACTGAACACCAGCAAAGATGTGGTGAACCAGAATCCTCTTACTGCTACAGGTGGGAGTGCTAATTGCAGCCACCACTCTGAAAAACTATTCGGCATTATTTTTTAGAGCTGAACAAATGGATACTAAATGGTCCAGTAATTCCACTTCTAAGTATGTACTGAGCAGAAACGAGGACGTATGTTCACCAAAAGGCATACACCAAAGTTCATGGAAGCACCACTCTGAAACAGCCAAATGTCCATCAACATCGTGAGTAAATAAACTGTGGCATATTTATATACAATGAAATACTGTACAGTGAGAATAAAAGACAAAAACAAATAACAACTCATAACATGTTGACTCATAAACATGTTGAGCAAAAAGAAGCCAGATACATAGTGTCTAAATTTTGTGACTTCAGTAAGTTTATAATAAGGCAGTTACCATCTATGATATCAGGACAGAGAGGTTACCCTGTTATGGTAGGGGAAGGGGATAGGCAGGCAAGGGGAGTTTCTGGGATGTTCGTAATATTCTATTTCTTGATGTAGGAACTTGGGACCTGAGTATTGTTCACTTTGTGGAAATTCCTTTGCTGTACACTTAAACTGTGTACATTTTGTGGACATATACTTTATTTCAATAAAAGTTTACTTTAGAGGGGCGCCTGGGTGGCGCAGTCGGTTGAGTGTCCGACTTCAACCAGGTCACGATCTCGCGGTCCGTGAGTTCGAGCCCCGCATCGGGCTCTGGGCTGATGGCTCAGAGCCTGGAGCCTGTTTCCGATTCTGTGTCTCCCTCTCTCTCTGCCCCTCCCCCGTTAATGCTCTGTCTCTCTCTGTCCCAAAAATAAATAAACGTTGAAAAAAAAAATTTAAAAAAAAAAAGTTTACTTTAGAAAAAGAAAACATTTAGGGGCACCTGGGTGGCTCAGTTGGTTAAGCATCCGACCCTTGATTTCAGCTTAGCTCATGATCTCACAGTTCGTGGGTTCAAGCCTGGAGTCGGGCTCTGTGCCCACAGTGTGGAGCCTGCTTGGAATTCTCTCCCCTCCCCCACCCCGCCACTTGTGCCTCCCCCCCTCAAAATAAATAAATAAACTCTAAAAACACAAAGAGAAGTTTAGATGTGTTAGCTGAATAATGACCCTCCAGAGTTGTTCATACCCTGTACCTCAGAACATGTAAATATATTACAATTACATGATATGATAAAAGGGACTTTGCATGTATGACTCCAGACACTGAGATGAGGAAATTATCTTAAATTACCCAGCTGGATTCAATGCAATCACAAGTGTCTTTATGAGAGGAAAGCAGAGGGATACTGTGACTACAGAAGAGCAGTGTCAGAGTGATAAAAAACAAGAAAAACGAGCAGCCATTGCTGGCTTTGAGCATGGAGGAAGGGGCCATTAGCCAAGGAATAAAGGCAGCCTCTAGAAGCTGAAAGAGACAAGAAAATGGATTCTCCCCTGAAGCCTCCAGAAGGAATGCAGCCCCGTCAACACCTTGCTTTTAGGCTTCTGACCTCCAGAACTGTGAGAGGATGAATTTGTGTTGCTTTAAAATACTGTGTGTGGTAATTTGTCACAGCAGCCATAGGCAATTAATCCACAATACCTTTGAGTATGGAAACACCCTTCCAGAAAATAAGAATGAAACAAAAGAGAACAGTTCTAAAGAAGTACTTCTTGGCATGTCCAGCAGTCTGAAAATATGAAAGCATTGCTGCAGAAACCAGTGGATTTTGTGTCTATTGATGCTGAAGCGAGCCATCACCTGCCAGTGAAGTTGTTGACAAATTTAAGTGGACTGCACCCCAAAACTGTGAAAGCCCAAAGATTTCATAAGCTACAACGTAAAAGGCAAAATGGCAATAATAATAATAATAATGATAAATGTTTAAATAATACTAACTTTGAATACATTATATCAATGAGATTCAACACATACAAATGTCTCAGTTACTATATTGTATATTGTCACATATATTATCTCCTAAGGTTGTAGCTGTCATTCCTAAGTTACTAATAAAAACCCTAGAGGGCAAAGTATACCCCAATACCCTAAATTGGCAGAACCGAGATCTGAACTCCAAAAATTCCACTTCCTTTTATATAGAAAAAAGCAAAAATAAGCCAATAAAAAGGTCTTTTCAGTTAGACACAAAAGTATATTTTTAAAAATTCATTTATAGCATACTATATCCTCATTCGATATAAGTGAAGTCCTCTTACTTAGTTTCATGTAGCGTTCTTTTTCTAAATCGAAGAGGTGCCATCTTTGAATCTGGAACGATATGAATGCTTTCTTGTCTCTCGGAGGTTAAGTTTTGTTCTGGATCACTGATCACAGCCCTACACAGAAAATACAAAGTCTGACAATTCAGTGTGATAACGCATGACTCTAGCATTCACATATGTGTAAGCAGCTAGAAAAGCTCAACTACCAACGCAAACTTACAATTATATATTTGCCAGATACTGAATGAATAAATTTAATAATTAAAAACTACTAGCCATACAAAAAACACTCCTATCAATCTTTTTCCATAAATATTATCTAAAAATACACTGAAATTTTTGAGAAAACTCTGAGCTTCATGTCTCTCTTTAATTTTTTTAATGATTATTTGTTTATTTTGAGAGAGAGAGAGAGAGAGAACGCACAAGCAGGAGGAGGAGCAGAGAGAGAGGGAGACAGAGAATCTCAAGCAGGTTCTGTGCTGCCAGCACAGAGCCCAACTTGGGCGTTAAGCCCACAAACCATGAGATCATGACCTGAGCTGAAATCAAGAGTCAGATGCTTGGGATGCCTGGGTGGCCCAGTGGGTTGAACATCTGGCTTCAACTCAGGTCATGATCTCGTGGTTCGTGAGTTCAAGTCCCACATTGGGCTTATTGCTGTCAGCATGGATCCCATTTCAGATCCTCTGTCCCCCTCTCTCTCTGTCCCTCCCTTACTCATGCTCTCTCAAAAACAAATAAAATAAACCTTAAAAAAAAGATGCTTAACCTACTGAACCACACAGGCGCCCCCATGTCTCTCTCTTATTATTGTTTCAACAAATAGACATTGTATTGATGACTTCTGAAAAAAGATGTGAAGCAAAGTAAGTAAGCAACAATATGGATTTCTGGGGGAAAAGCATTCCAAGCAGAAGGGAAGATAAACGCAAGGTACCTAAGACAGGAATGAACCTTATGGTATGTTTGAGAACAGGGAGGAAGCTGAGTGGCTGGAACAGAATAGATAAGAGAGGGAGAGAAGCAGGAAAAGTGATCCAAGGTCTAATGATGGGCAGATCATGTAGCGCTTGGGTAAACTATATTATTGACAATTTTTTAGCACACCTGATCCATATCCTTGCCATGGCCTCATTATAGGTGTACTGTACTTTCTTCCCCTTTAGCTTTGGGCTTAGCCATTTGACTTGCTTTGGCCATTATATAGAGCTGGATGGCTCTGCTGATCTCAACTAAACTAACTTACGTAAGTGTGGGTTGTTTGTGGATCTGCTTGTCAAGGATAATCTTGGCTAAGTGGCCCAGGTGCATTTGCAGAGTCACGTTCTTCTTAAGACCAGTGGGTGGGCCAAGCTGTGTTCTCATAAATATAGTGAAAGCACAAAAAGGCCAAGTGGGAACACATAAGGCTTCCTAAGTCCTAAGCTCTGAACTGAGACCAATGTTTTTATTCATATGTAACTGGCCAAAGTAAGTAAAAAGTAAGAACCACTTGGCCAAGCCTAGCTTAGACAGTTAATCTGAAGATACATGAGCTCTAATTAATTATTGTCTTAGGGGGCGCCTGGGTGGCTTAGTCAGTTAAGCGTCCGACTTGGGCTTAGGTCATGATCTCACAGTTCGTGAGTTCGAGCCTCCCTTCAGGCTCTCCGCTGTCAGGCAGAGACCCCTTCGGATCCTCTGTCTCCTCTCTCTCTGCCCTTCCCCCACTTGCTTGCACTCTAAATAAATAAATAAATAAATAAACAAACAAACATTAATTATTGTTTCAAGCTACTAGGTTTTATGGTGATATGTAATCAATACATAGATATTACTCTGATGTGGAAAATTACTAGAAGGTTTGATCTGGCTTGCTTTTTAATAGACTTACTCTGGCTCCTGGGTTAAGAATAGACCAACAAGGGGCAAATGGAGACACGATGAGTGTAGTTAGAAAGTGACTAAAATAATCCAAGAGAAAGAAGATGACAGTGTGAGCAGGGATGATGACAGAAGAAGGAGTAAATTTATTGTGAGGGTGAAAGTGAGATGATTGCTGACAAACTGAGTATAGGATTTGAGAAAAAGAGAGGCATCAAAAGCATCACCAAGATTTTAGGTCTAAATAACCTGAAGAATGGAGCTGCCTTGGAGGAAAATTAAAGAGGATTTGGTCATGGGGAAAGGGAAGGAAAAGAACTTCCTGGAACCCAGATTGGCAAATGTTCCACTGGAGCCTTAGATTAGGGAAGCATCAGCGTATAAATGGTTTTAAAGCCATGATACTGGATGAGATCACTTGGGAACTGCATGTAGAAAAAGTCCAAGAATGGAGCCCAGTGTACTCCCACATATAAAGGCAGGGGTGATGAAAAGGAACCAGGGGAAAAGACTGAGAAGGAGCAGAAGGGAGGAGGAAAACTAGCCAAGTGTCGTGTGTAGGAAGCCAAACGGGAAAGAGAAAAGTATTTCAAAAAAGGAGAAAGTTTCCAGTGGAGAAAGACATTGCTGGGTCAAATAAAGGAGAACCGAGAGATCGCCATTAGTGGAACAAAATGGATGCCACTCGTTATCTTATGAGGAGATGTGGTGGCACAGTGAGGGTGAAAACACCGACAAAGTGAGTTCAAGAGATAAGTGAAGGAGGTGCATTGAAGCCTATAAGAATAATTAATTATTTCAAAACAAGTTACTGAAAAACATGCACGTAAAAATGCACTTTCTCTCTGCCATCTACACAAGCAATACTTTTTTTCAAAGCTAATCCTAAGTCTCTCTCTCTCTCTCAAAAATAAATAAACATAAAAAAAATTTTTTTTCAGTTAACCAAAAGTCTTAGTTCTTTCTTGAAGGCATCCTAGACTATTCCGCCTTTTCTGAAATCCTGCCATATTTACATATTATCATGCAATTTGAAACAGCAGATATTTAACCTTTACACAGTTTTCTAAGAGTTATGAAACTGGAGATTAAGTTTAAAATTTCTAACAGTCCCGCAGTTTCCAAACTGTGCACCAAGTCACTCTAGGGTGCCACAGAAAATTCATAGGGACTACGTGAGATATTTTTAATTTTTGAGGGAAACAGTGATACTTGGTATTTGTTGGATGCTACCTGAACTACTAGCTCAAGGTAATTCACAGTTTGAACAAGAGATCATGTTACAATGATGTCAAAACGTTGCAAAGCAGGGTTTTCTACAGTTGCTGTGATAAATAGTAAGTGCCATGTGCAGTCAAAAGTGAAGGTGACAGTATCCTACACATTTCTAAGGTTTGAGGGATTGGGCATTGTCCCAAAAGGTACAAACAAGTAATTGAGGCTATTCGAGAATGAAATAAAAATATTGTTTCTTTCAATTTATGTGTATTATTTTTTCAAATGGCCATTAAGTTGTAATGAAGTAAATACTTAAGTTATTTAGATAAAAATACTTAAAAATAGAACTGTTGGGTATTTCTACTGACTTAGGAATGCTATGAAAAACAAAATCACTAAAACACTATGAGTGCAGTGAACAGAGACAGTTTGAGAGCCTCTGAGATAGCCACTTGCTGATTGACTAACAATAAAAAAAATTAATGAAAACTTTCTGAATGGATTTATATTACTCATTACTAACTCTCACCCACCTAGATAAGTGGTCTATCATCACTTGCTCTGCAACAGTCTGTTTCTTCTTCTCTGCAGCCACAATTTCCTAAGAAGAGAAAATTTTTTTTAAATTTCATTGTCCATAAAATAGAACAATACTATAGTTAAGACAAGAATCCAAAATATATGTTAAATTTCCAAATTCCTTCTTAAATATAGATTACTATATCCATCACTAATAAAAGAATCCTAATTATTTAATCTAAAAATACCATTTATTTCCTAAAAAGTGATACACTTAAATTTCTGTAGAAATCATCAGAGTTTTCCATGCACAGCCTCTGAATGTCATGGAGCTAGAATAAAGGAGGAGGAGATTATTATATCCCTATCCTTGACAGATACCCTGTAAAAGGCACTTTAACCTGCTCCAAGAATACCAACCCTGACACAAAAAGAGTTTGTTCTAAAACTGTAAGTAGTAGATATGAAGCTAAAACTGAATTGGAATCATTCAACTTGATATCAAAAATCTAAAAATAAATATTTTTAAAAAGCCTTCCATCATTAAAAGGATAATAATATTTTCTATGCATATAATCCATTACTCAATTGCTGGTTTGATTAAACTATCTTCACGCTATTTTTTGCTCTTCCAACTCATTTGAAAATATTTTTACTATATTTTAGGTTATATGAAATTGAAAGATTAGTAATCATTCAACTCCAATTAGATTATAATGTGACTATATTCACTAAAATGTTTCTTTTCAAGAGTAAATAAAATAAGTTAAAAAAAATTAAGGAGTCAAAATAAAGCTTGTTCTATTTTTACACTGTAAATTACTGTCATCTCCCTTGATCACTGTAGTAAATGGAATTGAGTACAATAATATTCCTTAGGTAAAGGCTTTGTAACCTTAAGGAGAATGCTCCATTTGAAACTAATGCAAAATTCAAATAAGAATGACTAAAGGCATATCATAGAAACTACTAAGAAAACTGGAAATTTGGGCACAACTATTTAAATATTAGTCTATAGTTGAATTTCATCTTTCTTTCTTTTTTTTTTTTTTTTTTTTTTTTTTGGTTTGGTAGAACTTAAGATACAGTTTACACATCCAAATACGCCCCATATAAAGTTCATGTCATTTAACATAACTGCATCTGGTGTTATCTAAGCTCATGACAATTTATAATGACTTGTTTAGTAATCAATGTCAAACACAATTAAAAAGTTAGAAAACTTGTGGTAACTTACAGGTACAGCAAAGCATGTTTTATGTCTAAGGGGGAAGAAAGTGAACACTGACTAAAACATGAAATTATATACAGAAAAGATCAGCCAGAACACAGGTGTAAAACTCAGAAGCAAGCAAAAGAGGTGAGATTAATGAGTAGAAAGCCCATGCAGAAAGCCCACCTTGAGTGTTGACATTTATGGAGGCTTATTGTAGGAAAGGTTAGAATCACCCTCAGGCACACTGATTTAGAGGCCTGTGTAAACAAAAAGCAGATCAGAAGCAGAAGCCACACTGATTCAAAGGATCTGATAATGTTGAAAACTGACTAGCAAACTAAAAGAGATGGATATAAAAACCACACAGGCTCACTGCTTCTGTTGTTGAATTAAGTGTTGTTGAATTAAGTGGTTAAAAATTAAAATGTTTCCACCTACATTTTAAAAATAAATCAGGGGCGCCTGGGTGGCGCAGTCGGTTAAGCGTCCGACTTCAGCCAGGTCACCATCTCTCGGTCCGTGGGTTCGAGCCCGGGTCGGGCTCTGGGCTGATGGCTCAGAGCCTGGAGCCTGCTTCCGATTCTGTGTCTCCCTCTCTCTCTGCCCCTCCCCCGTTCATGCTCTGTTTCTCTCTGTCCCAAAAATAAATAAAAAACGTTGAAAATAAATCTTTTTTAAATAAATCAGTATTGGGGCGCCTGGGTGGCTCAGTCAGTTAAGTATCCGACTTCGGCTCAGTTCATGATCTCACGGTTCGTGGGTTCAAGCCCCGCATCGGGCTCTGAGCCCATCCAGCTTAGAGCCTGGAGCCTGTTTCAGATTCTGTGTCTCCCTCTCTCTCTGCCCCTCCTCCACTCGCGTTCTGTCTCCCTTTGTCTCAAAAATAAATAAACATTAAAAAAAATTAAAAATAAATCACTACTAATTTCAAACGCATTCAAAGTGTACTCACACAAACATTTCCTTGGGCGGGTGTGGGGGGGATGATAAATGCCTGCTACCACAATGAAGTAAAATGTACGTGATGCTGAATTTAGTGAATTAAAATGATTGTGAGTAAAAGAAATCCACTAACACCCAGATGGCTTTGGATGAAATCAAGAACACTCAATAGGCCTTAAGTATCAGTAATACTCATTTCAAGTGTAACTTCAGGAACATATCAAAGTAAGCCTTATCTGGGATACTGTTCTGTCTTATAAAGTAGCTTTTTTTCATTTTAGGATAATCCTGGTAAGATTCCTTATTCTATTAAACATAAATATCTCAATAATAATAGGCATATAAAATAATGTTTATGTTGTTTTAGTAAAAGAACTATAGCAAGGTAGTAACTTGGTCATCCACAGAAAATCAGTAATAGTCCGGAGACTGATTACACATTGTTGTCAATTCAGAACATACTAATTCTGGATGATTGTAATTCCAATAAAATATATATTAACTTCCCTCAATGATAATGATAATGTAACTGGCTAAAACTGTAATGTTTTATTATATTTAGGTTATTTAAGCCAGAATTTTCCCAACTTTGGAACCACCACACACTGGTATTTCATCAGCTCATTACTAATATGTCTAAGATATTAATCACTTGGGGGTGTCTGGGCTAGCCAGTGGACTCCAGCTTCAAGCAGCTTGGTCTGATTACCCCAGGACACTATAGAAGTGTCATTATCTATTTGTATCAGATCTGCCCTAAGCGATCCTCATCCAACAATCCAAATGATTTTATAAAAGATGCAATTTAGAGTTAATATTGAGAATCTAGAGCTTTGCTTCCCTTTTCCTTAAAAAAAAGAATAATTACTTGATTCCTGCCCTTTTCCTTAACATGCTGGAATTTCTCTAGTCTTATTTGCTTACCACTTTCAAAAAACTAACTAGGTTACTTTGGAGGCAGGGGTGATGCTAAATTAAACCCACTGACAAAAACAGCAGCCAATTAACATTTTTAATAGCATAAAGTAAATTTTTATAAACTCTTAAAGATTCAAGACTATTTTTCCATGGTAAATATACCAAACAGCAACCATTGGTAAAAATGAGGACTCGATTTACTCATTAGTGAACATCCACCTCAGTCCAAATTCAATTGTTGCAATTATTTATTCAGTTTTAAGTCTGGAAAATCTTGGAGGGCAAATGAACTTAATGGGTTAACAAGTAAATAAAAATACTGGTAACTTACGGCATCAGACTTCCTCATACACCATGGTGCATTGTACGGGATGTCTGCATAACCCTGCTGTAAGAGGGCCTTCCTATCCAGAGTTGTAAGACCATCGATGATGGCTGCTTCACCTTGTACACACTGCAAGTGAAAGCAATAAATAAACTCATGAGAGTTTGTACTCAGTTCACATACTTAGCATATTTGTTTTTAACAAAATAGAGTATTAAATCACCTCTGAACATGTCAATAGTTATTTGTGTAGCAGTTAACAGTACAATCTCTGACAATCAGATTGTCTATTTGAATCCAGTTCTTCCACCTTCTAGCTAGATGACCTCTCTGTGCCTTGGCTTACTCATGGCAATGGGAATTAATAACAGTATCTACTTCACACACACACACACACACACACACACACACACACACGCACACACACACACACACAGATTAAATGCCCAACACCTATAAAAGTATCTGATAGAGTCAGCATTAGATACAAAGTAGCAACTATTATAACTATTATTGTCCATTTGAGTCTTTGTAAAGTTAATAAAAATGGGCAATGTCCACTCCTTCATACAATGAAATTCAGAAGTACTAAGAGATGGGGTTTATCCTTTAAGGTAAAGGATTCTCTGGGATCCTAAAGATAAACACTAAATTTTTCTCTGAATATAAGATGTACTTATATTCCCTTAACAACAACAACAAAAATGTCCCAGTGGGATAGCAATTGCCAAAAACATAATAGATTTCAAGAGTTTTTCCTCCAGGGTTTGTTCTCACTTTAGATCCTTCTCGAAAGGTCACACTCCATGTTCATACTCTACTCTGTCTTCATGACCTTTGACTACTACATGAAATCTTATACATTTGTTTGTGAATTATTGCCTGCCTCTCCTGCTAGACATTCCATTAGGGTGGAACTGTCTTTTCTATTGCAGTATCCCTGATGCCTGAACAGGACCACACATTGTGAACACTCGATATTTATTCAACAAATGAATAACACATCTTGTATAAGTATTAACTACTGGGAAATCAATTTATGAGGATACTTTATAATTTTATTTATTTACCTGCTAATATATTTGTTTTTCCTGCATAGTGATTTATTTTAACAGGCATCAAAAAAGATGTTTAGCATTATATAAGGTAAATTAAGCTGATTAAATTAACAGATTATGTTCAAGTATAAGCAAAGGTCTGCACTAAGTTTAGACTGAAAGGAACTTTCAAAAGATTTTTATTTATTTTGTTTCAGCTTATTTTTATCCTTTTACAAAAGGGAAAGGGTGACATTTCCCCCTTGGTATGTCAAATTTAACCTCCCCAGACCAGACTTCCTGGTGGTCTTCCCTCCCCTTCCAATTGTTCAGGCCCAAAACTTTAGAGGCATCCTTCATCATCTCTTTCTCCTAAGCCTGCAACCAAACCATCAACAAATATTCTCAGCAAATATTCTCAGTTATTCAAAATCTACCCAGAATCTGGTTTCTCATCATGACCACTTCTTATCCAACTCTGCTGCCATTGTCCTCATCTCTTGTATGGCTTATTGTGACAGACGCCACAAATATCTTTCCGCTTCCAGCTTCGCCCCATTCTTCACAAAACCCATCCTCAACACAGCAAAGGTGCTTTCTGCCTCAGAGTAAAAGGCAAAGTTCTTACGTGGTCTACAAGGCCTCGCAGATCTGCCTCCCCACCTTCCCTTAACTCTCTCCTCATCTCTCCCTTCCTCTTCCTCCTCTGACCACACCATCCTCCTTGGTATTTCTTCTTTTTTTAGTGTTTATTTATTTATTTTGATAGAGAGAACCAGCATGGGAAGAGGCAGAGAGAAGAGAGAGAGAGAGAGAGAGAGAGAGAGAGAGAGAGAATCACAAGCAGGCTCCGTGCTGTCAGCACAGAACCTGACTCGTGGCTCAAACCCACAAACTGGGAGATCATGACCTGAGCCAAAATCAAGAATCAAAGGCTTAATCAACTGAGCCACCCAGGTCCCCCATCCTCCTTGATATTTCTTGAACACTCTATGCTCCCTCCTGCTTCCTGACACTCAGAGTTTATTCTGAGTGGCTTGTGCATCACCTCTTGTGTACCAGTCGTGTGCTGAAATGCTACCTATGGGAAAGATCTTCCCTGGTGATCCTGTACAAGTTGCGATCCCAACCTTAAACCCTGGTCTTCCCAGTTCCCCTCCATCCATAGCATTTATCACCATCTGTCAGGCTAGATGGGTTGATTGATTCATTCATTCACTAATATGTTTTTTCTGGCTAAGTCCTTCCATTATGATATATATTCTGTAAGGGCAAAAATATTTGTTTTATTTACTGACTTAATTACTGTTTTCTATAAAATTGAAGTTTAATGATTTTCATGCTTTATTTAAAGATATTTCATTATTTAAAATATAAGTTCACGTTTTGGGAAATAATTTGACAATAAGGATTCATCAGCTTTTTACACTAAATGGAAGGAAACTCAACAAAGGAAATCTGCCGTTAAACAAGCAGAGGGGAACTTTTATCTTACTGTTTAATTATCTGTTGACTGATAATATCAGTTTGACTAATGGGTGATTATGACCTTTAGTTATTGTCCTAGGTCCTAAATAAGTCTAACTTTAGCTTTTTTTTTTTTTAATCAGTAAAAAGAATCAATTTACATGTTGTTCCCTACTTTATCAAGAGGCTTACATTTCTGATACCAGAGAGCCCTTCTATTTCCAGAGATTACTATTCCAATGCTAATTAATGTAATTGTAAACGGTTTTACTAATAGCCCATGTATACAACAGTTTTGATTTTCGTAATGGCAAAAATTTAAAAAAATATCAAATAAGTTGTTCGAACCCTTAAGTACAAAATTATTATGTATAGAAACCAGGTCTTTTTGCAAGACTATCAAGAACACATGAAATAATAATTATATACATTTATATGTAGATTTTAAAAATCAAAGCAAAACAATTTTTTTCCAAAAGAAAATATGCATATGCTGGCTTCTATAAAATTCTTTATTCATACTATAAGTGTTTACCAAACATATGGGAAGCTTTGCAAGAAATATTGGTTCCTCTCTTAACCAAAAATAAACAAATGCCCTCATCTGAACACATGTTCAAGGAAATCAAAGCTTTGCTTAAAAATATTTTAAACTACTTTGCTGCAGCAAATAGAGCATGAGCTTTTAGATATCTTCAGTCTATTTCCCCAACATTATTACAGTGATCTAAATATTACATGGTAAAACTTATAAATACATGGCCGGATGCCACAGGGCTGTGAAATTATCCTGCCTATGATTATAGACGTTAGATTATTACATTTGTATACATCTGTTTGGATCTGGGATACGTGTCTTAACATAATAGAGACAAAATAATCCCATAACTTTTGTTACTCTTTCCACTAAACACCATGTGATGTAGTAGTTAGTTCAAGATAATTCCTACATGGATAGATGATATGCCATACCTACTCATAAATTAATCAATTCTTTTTACCTATAAAAAATGTTAAGCCGATACAACCATCAAACTTCCCTGAAAATATAATATTCTTACAAAAAGTTAACTATTACATCCAACTATTATCTCTTTTATGGCTAGTAGTGTCATAAACAATGTTTCTAAAGCTTTCTTTCCACAATTCAAGGTTGACCTTTCCAATATGCTTATGAAAAGCCATTAAATATATTATGGTTAGTTTGCTCTCATAGTCATGAATGGTGAATTTACATCTAATTAATATTAAATAAAAGCATAACTTTAGTAATTCATGATGTTAAAAAAACATCTCCCAACATGACGCAGAAGAAAATCACGGAGTGATGACAGTTTTAGAATAAAATAGGGTCACTGTCACATCTATAATCACTTTTCAACTTTAAAATTTAGACTGTGAGGGGCATCTGGGTGGCTCAGTCGGTTAAAGCGTCCAACTTCAGCTCAGGTCATGACCTCACAGTTCATGAGTTCGAGCCTGGAGCCTGCTTCAGATTCTGTGTCTCCCTCTCTCTCTGCCCCTCTCCATCTCATGGTCTGTCTGTCTGTCTGTCTGTCTCTCTCTCTGTCTCTTTCTCACAAAATAAATAATTAAAAACAATTTTAATTTAGACTGTGAGACAAAGAGAGTTCAGGATAGCTACATCAAAAACAGCTTTGTGATATGGTCTTATTTCCAATCCCAAAATAATGAAAACTTCTAACAGAGAAAAGATGACTAGGTCATCTGGCTACAGTTTTCACATTTGAAAATGATAAATAATAAACCCTTAGAGTAGTTCTTAAGGAATAAACTAGTTAATGCAAGCAAAGCACTTCAAATAGTCCCTAGAACACAAAAACAAATGCTAGCTACTATACTTACTGTGACTAACAGCAAGACACCCCAGACAAAAAGACTTCTCTGATACATGGAATTTCTTTTTTTTTTTTTTTAATTACATCAGAACTTCACGAAGTCTCATACAATACCTTGTCATCTACCTTGTTTCTTGGAGACTGTTGCGTGACACCTGGTTTTGGATTTTCTGCATTTCTCTGACTGTACTGTTTATATCCCTCTTTCATTTCAGTTTTATGTTGCTGATATTTTAGTTTATATTTGCTTGTTGGTCCTGGTAAGTTTTCAGGTATTATGTCTTGCTCCTAGATGTAAAAATAAAAAGCATGTTATCCACCAGAAAAAAAAAGGAAAAAAATGAAAATAATTATTAATTTTCCTTATTAACATACACAGGCTTATCATTTACCTTAACATTTATGCTTAAGAAACAGATCATTATGATCTACATGCTAAACAGAGGTCATATTTAAAATATTTCGCTGGTACAGCATCACTGAGCAACCAAAGCAAGTGGAACTGCTCAGGATGGACTGTGGTCGTTAAGTACCAGGAAGCTTATACTTTGTTTCCCAGCTGAAGATCAGTCCTGGTGCTATGAAACTGGTGGGTTAAAATGAATATGTGCAGTACTAAGTGGGATATATGAAAAGCCACCCTAAAATAAAATTAAATAACATTTATTATGAGCTCTATGCAATATTGTGTTCAAATGTTTTTTATAGTAAATACCAAGTAAAAATTACCTCCTCATCAGAGTCAACAAGGCTTCCCAAATCAAGTCGTGGAACCCTGAAAGAAATAATCTATGCATCATCCCATTACCTTTTAAAATGAGGCTTTAATAGTTGCAAGTCATACATGCTGCATCTTATATAAAAAGGTACACTAAAGCCAATGGTGTGCTGCACCTACCAGCTGTGAGAGGCTTGTGTTACATAAAGGTTCAGTAGTTTTTGAGCTAGTTGTTAACAAAGCATTATTAAAGATAAAATTATATAAACTTCTAATTAAATAAGCTACATTAAAAACAAAGGTCATAAATACTTGAAGTCATCACTTCTTAATGACTTTACTGTGCTTCACTATTATCTATGTTCTAGAAGTTATTGACACCTATGGTATTTGTGTGGTAGTGTAACGGTGTGCATCTCTTTCCAAGTCTGGGTTCAGTAATATTACACATAGCTTGAAATCAGCCACAGCAGGATGATTGACACGGACATTGGCAAATGCTATGAATCAGGACTTGATTTATTATTTTGTTGATTTCTGAGACTTAAAACAGTAGTGAAGAAAACATTAATGGTACAGATTAAACTTAAAAAGTGTATCGTATCTGTAATTGGCACATTGCAAATAACAAAAAACTGAGGAAATATTGTACCAGAATTTGAAACTATTACTTAAGTCAACAAATAAATCACTCACATCACTTTACAGTAAATGAAAATATCAACCAATGTTCATAAATTGAACTAATGGTTCGTCAGCTGCAGATACAAGAATTCAGCAGAAAACAAAAAGCATTCTGTGAGAATCAATTGGCTACATGGAATTTCCAAAAGAGAGTTTATATATTTATTAGTATTTGTAAACTGCCTACTATATATCTTCCATAGGAGTAAAATTTATAACCAACTTAAAAAATACTTAAGTTTATGTATGATTAACAAGTAAAATTTTAAATAAACTTATAGTACACTTTCAGAAAACCAGTTGTTAAACATTTAACATGAATGGGATCGATTGTCAGTACACACTGAATATATTTAGCTAAGGCTTGCACCTGCCTCTATTCTTTGTCTAGATGAGTACAGAGGTATCTGTTATGTAGAACCACATGAAATTGCTGATACTTATTAATTTCATACGGTTCAGCCTAACAAATTACTAGGGTTTTAACATCTATTATCTAATAAGTCCTGTAGTCTAAAATACTTGAAAAAATATAAAAATAATAACCTTCCAAATTTTAAAAGGCAAAAATGTACAATATAAAACATGAATTAAGGTAGTCCATCCAAACCTAAAATGATTTAAATAAGATTGACAAAATTGTCATATTTCTCAAGATAAGGTTAGGGTCACAGATACTTTGCATTAAATTCATTTTGACTATCCTAGTTTTAAAATTCAAAATTTCATACATTTCTTTAATAAATTCACTTAGCTCAATTTTCTAAATAACACAATAGTTTGACTTTTTCAGGAAAATGTAAGACTATTAAAGAAAATAAAAAACAAGACAAGTAGTACCCTCAATCCCATCATCCTGCTTCCATTCTGGCATAGCAATTTTCAGGCCATCTACATGAATATCAATTTTTTTTGCAATTCACAATCACAGCTACATATAAAATTTTGCTGTATTTTTTTTAATTTGTTAACGTATTATATATGTTCGCCCATTAAATAGCTCAAATGTGAAGAAATGTGACTTACACAGGTAGGCAAGGATTCTGGATTGCCCGTGATTTGGAAGTCCGTCCTTGCTTTAATTAAAAGAAAAAATCAGTATGTATATGCCTTTTATTTATACTTTAAAAGATAAGCAATGAGTCAATTCAGTAAAGCTGATTATTATTTTCTCAGTAAACTTCATAGAAGAAATATTTATTAAGGCTCTCCTTACTATGCTTGAGACACAGAAATAGGATGATAAGCAACACAGACAATCTTTATCCTCATGGCGCCCTGTCTGCTGGGGAAGACATTCATTCAAACAAACAATAATGCGGAAAAACACGTGCTATGACAGAGCAACTACATATAGCATGTGTACCCAACAAGTCTAGGAAACTGAGGACGTTTTTTCAAAAACAAAAAAAAGTAACCTTGAAATGGAACTCTGAAGGATAAGTAGCAGTTAGCCAGATAAAGGCAGAAGGGAGAATATTGCTTTAGTCAGGAAACAACTCATTCTGCACTAGCCCACAGGCAAGAGTTAGCAGCTAGACAGGGCTGAAATCCAGAGTAAGGAGATCGTGGCCAGAACTGTTCCATAATACAAGTCAAAGAACTTGGACCTTGCCCTAAAGGTAATGTGAAAACTGCAGGATTTAAGCAAAGAAGAGACAAATATATACAGGTATACATTTGTAGATGTTCAGTATTATTTCCAAAAAATTGTGCAAAGACATGAAATATACTCATGATAAATTGAGTGGTAAGCTCATGGTGGTGAGGTCAGCCACCATGGAATAAGAAATACATATGAGTCATAGAGAAATTCAAGTTAATAAGTGCAGCAAACAATTCATCAACACTTCTAGCTTACTTCTTAAATGTTATCTAACTGGTCATTTTTGTGATACTGACAATAAGTATAGAAATTACATTCAAGGGGCGCCTGGGTGGCTCAGTCTGTTAAGCATCCAGCTTTTGATTTTGGCTCAGGTCATGATCTCACAGTTCACAGGTTTGAGCCTCGCATCGTGTTCTGCACTGACAGCATGGAGCCTGCTTGGGATTTTCTCCATCCCTGTCTCTCTCTGCCTCTCCCTCACACTCTTTCTCTCTCTCTCAAAATAAATAAATTTAAAAAAAAAGAAGAAGAAATTACATGTAAGACTGAGCTTCATCACTCTAATTGACCAAAGAGAACACAAATTCAATTCAGTATAAACTTTATTAATACGGCATTGTTTTAAATACTATCCTAATAAAAAGTTAAAATGCAGAAATATAAAATCACAAAATAATCAGCTAATTAGAAAAAAAAAACATATATATATATAAAATAGTTGACCCTTGAGCAATGCTGGGGTTAAAGGTACTAACCACCTCCCCCCATACAGTCAAAAATGCACGTATAACTTTTGACTCCTCAAAAACTTAACTACTACTAGCCTACTGTTGACTAGGAATATAAAGTCAATTGACACATATTTTATGTTATATGTACTATATGCTACATTCTTACAATAAAGTTAGCTACAGAAAATGTTATTAAGAAAATCAAACAGAATAGAAAACACATTGTATTTATTGAAAAAAATCTGCATATAGATGTACCCATGCAGTTCAAATGAGTTAAAGGTCAATTGTCTATAACACATACATCATAGCTTAAAGTAGCAGCACACCTCTATCGCATATCAAAGATTGTCTTAATTGTACTTGGAAAACATCGTGATATCATCTAAACTTAGGAAGAAAATCTAAACAGAATATAACTGTAGTTGTCATAATTATCACCATCATTATCCCCCAGAAAGCTTTTTATTTTTTTTTAATGTTTATTTATTTATTTTGAGAAAGAGAAAGAGTGCACAATAGCAGGGGAGGGGCAGAGAGAGGAGAAAGAGAATCCCAAGCAGGCTCTGCACTGTCAGCACAGAGCCCAATGCAGGGTTGGATCTCAGAAACCTGAGAGTATGACCTGAGCCGAAATTAAGACTGGGCACTTAACCAACTGGGGCACACAGGTGCCTCCGCACTGTCCCTCCTCCCTCCCTCCCCCCCAGAAGGTGTTTTAATAGACCCCAGAAAGTGTTTTGACTTAAAGACAGTCTTTTAAAGTCATAGGCCTATTTTACAATGGCAGTTACCTTTATTGCCTAATTCTAACAAAATTTTGCTAGCCAATCCAGAATGAAGGTAAATTATAGCTTATAAATCCCTGGGCCAGGAGTTGGCAAACTATGGTCCAGCTCTGTTTTATAAATAAACTTTTATTGAACCACAACCACATCGATTTATTTATGAATTGTCTCATTACATCAGCAGAGTTAAGTGATTGCAACAGAGACAACAGCCCATAAAGCCAAAATTACTAGCTGGCTCTTTATTTACTTTTTTCTAAGTTTATTTATTTTGAGAAAGAGAGGGAGAAAAAGAATCTCAAGTAGGCTTAGCACTGTCAATGCACAGCCTGACACAGGGCCTGAAGCCACGAACTAGAAGATCATGACCTGAGCCAAAATCAAGTTGGAGGCTCAACTGACTGAGCCACCCAGGGACCCCTAGCTGGCTATATATCCTGTCCTTTTTTTTAAAATAGACTTTATTTTTTAGGAGTTTTAGGTTCATAGCAAAATTGAGTGGAAGATACAGATATTTGCTGTATATCCCCTGTGATATTATGATTTGTAAGAAATATACATTTGGACATTCATATGACCAAAACAGATTTCTCATATATATTTGGTCTTGTCCAGTTCCTGGGTTACAGCTCCCAAAATCTTTGGAGTTTTCTCAAAGTTAAGAGAAATAAATGTATTTTGTTATGTTAATGAGGTTGCTTTTGGAAAGCTCCTAAACTTGAAGGCTGGTTGCCAATAAAGCCTACCCTGTGATTGGAGGGTTGGACTTTCACTCTCACCTCCTGACCTCCAGGGAGTGGAGAAGAGGGCTAGAAGTTTAATTAATCACCAATGGCCAATGATTTAATCAACCTTGCCTATGTAATGAAACCTCCATAAAATCCCAAAAAGACAGCATTCAGAGAGCTTCTGGGTTGGTGAACACGTGGAGGTTGAGAGAGTGGCATGCCTAGAGAGGGCATGGAAGCTTCCTGCCCCTTCTCCCATACCTTGCCATACCCATCTCTTCTCTCTGGCTATTCCTGAGTTATGTATTTTTATAATAAACTGGTAATTTAGTAAATAAAATGTTTCTCTGAGTTCTGTGAGCCACTCTAGCAAATTAATCAAACTCAAGGAGGAGGCTGTGGGAACCTCTGACTTACATAGCTTGTCGGTCAGAAGTACCAGTATCTGAGTATCAACTCCAGCCTGTAGCCAGAAGCACAGGTAACAACCTGGGCTTGTTTGAAGTTGGAGAAGGTGTGCAGTCTTTAAAACTGAACCCTTAACCTGTGGAACCTGATGCTATCTCTGGGTTGATAGTGTCAAAACTGAGTTGAATTGTAGGTCACCCAATTGCGTCAGAGCATTGCTAGTTGAAGGTGTTGAAATTGAAACAGGGTGCTCATAACACCAAAAGACCCTATTGACCACACATATGCATAGCCTTCCCCATTATTAATATCCCTCACCAGCATGGTACATTTGCTACAATTGATAAACCAACATTCACAAATCATCATCACTCAAAATCCATTACATTAGAGCTCACTCTTAGTGTGTATTCTATAGATTTAGACAAATTTGTAATGACTTGCATACTATCTTTTTCCCCTTTTATTTTAAGCAACTTCCATGTTACTCCTTAAAATCATGTTCATCTAGTATTTCTCAATTGCTACATACTTTTTCAGTATTTTTTTCATTATTTAAAAAAACACACACTTTTAAAAAATACCTTTGTTTTCATCTGAGTTTTTCTATATTTCAGATTATTTCCATAGAATAGATTCCAGGGATTTTATTTGCATCAAATCACTTGAAAAACTTTATAGGTCAATACACACCACCAATCTTGTTTCCAGAAATGTGGTACCAGTTTTTTGTTTTGTTTTGTTTTTTGGGTTTTCTTATATTTGATTCTGTAGAATTTCAATTTAGACTAGTCATTTTCTAAAGAACATAATATACACATTACAATCAAATGCCTCTGCATTCCAGAAATTCAACTCCTGAAAGCTTTGCAAAGAGGTGATTTCTATGTAATATCCTGCTTTTCTAATTATTTCAAAAGCCAAAAAGTTAACAAAGCAGATTTAAAGACAGCAGCATGAGTCAATAAAGAAACTTTTGTATTTTCAAGACTCTATACACTAATTTTTCTAATGTCACTATTACAATGTAAATTGAAATCAATTAATATAAATGATAATCAGTTAATACTGTGAATTATCATTGGTGTTTTGGTCAGGTTTTTTTTATACATCACTCTGTGCTCATCAAAAGCGCTGTCCTTAATCCCCATCACCTGTTTAAGCCATCTCCCCACCCACTTTCCCTCATGGTACCAGTTAAGAATGCACCGATTCTAAGTCTGAGTATTTCAATATTACATTTTTCCTCTAATTTAATAGAGGCATAAAAGTATATCATGATGCTAATTTTCATTCCCCTGATTGTCAGTGGGGCTGAACAAGTTTTTGTATTCTTATCTCCTACACATATTTCCCAGCTGTTGGTGTTTGTAATGATATCTGAGTAAAGAGCACAGATCTTGAAGTCAGAACTGGAGTTCAAAATCTTGGCAAGTCACTTAATCTCAAGGACCTACAGTCCTTCCACTTCTAAAAGTAGGTTAATAATAATACCTACCTCAAAAGTGTGTTGTAAGAATTAAGTGATATAAGTTAATGAAACATTTATCATGGTGTCTGGACAAGCAGTAGGCATTCAATATTTAGAATAATAAGAATAAAGAAATATAAATATACATCACTTGTATGTATTTCTAAACTAAAATTTATATTTACCCAATTCTGTGATGGAAACAAGGGAAAGGTAGCCGTAAATTTGTGTTTAATCAATGATTTATATACACAAGGGTGATATTATGAAGGTTTACAAAGAATAAAGGTCTTAATAGAAGCCCAGATTCTCTTCTTACCTAACACAAAATGGATACTGATACTCTCTTCTTCTTTCTACTATTCTTATTTCTTACATTTTCTACAGATACACACAGATAATTTTTAAGATAATAATATGAAAACAATAATAATAAGCTTGATTTTTACAAATAAAACTAATTCAAGCAATGACCAAGTTTTCAACTGATTATCTTCAATCCTGGCCACTCACTTCTTCAAATCTAGAAAATTTGGATCCTAAATATTTGTAAGTATAAGTAGTCATAAAAACATGAAGAAAATGGCCAATGATTTAATAAATCATTTAATGAATTTAATGAATCATTTAATGAATAATCAGGCAATTATTTAATGAATCATCACAAGAGGAAAACTAATAGCACACATACTTGCAGCAGCTTTCTTCCAGAGAATGGCTGAGTTTGACTCGTAGGGGAAGTAGCAACTCCTTTAACCTCTAAATCCATCCAAGTTCACGTATTTATCCTGCAGTATACTTTGAAAAGGGTAAAAACATACAAAACGGTCATTCTTACTCTAATTTTAAACAAGCCATGCAAATTGCATACTACTACTACATGGAAAGAAATCGTGTGGTTAATCATTCTTACTTCTTTCACTCAAATCAACTTTTTGTGGGTGATTACATTATGTGGGGCAAATGCTAGTCCGAATAGTGTTCCCCCAAAGATGTCCATGCCCTAATCAGTGGGCCCTGTGAATATGTTTACCCTATACAACAAGGAGGACTTTTCAGAGGTGATTATGTAAAGGATTTAGAGGTGTGAAAATTATCCTGGATTATCTGCAGGGCCCAATGTAATCATCAGGGTCCTTATAAGAGGGAGCAGAATAATCAGAGTATGAAACAGAAGATGTAAGAAAGACAGCACAGGTCAGAGAGGAGTGAAGATGCTATATAGCTGGCTTTGAAAGTGGAGGGAGAGGTCATGAGCAGTCTCCACAAGTCAGAAGAGGCAAGGAACGAATCTTCCCCTGGAGCCTCCAGGAGGAGCCAGCCCTGCTGACATCTTAATGTTAGCCCTGTAGGACTCATTTTGTACTTCTGATCTCCAGAACTATAAAATAAATAATAAATAATGAGTTAATTTATGTTGTTTCAAACCACTAAGTTTGTGGGAATTTTTCACGGTAGTGATAGAAAACTAATGCTTGTACTTCTCTACCACAAAGTGGTATAAATTTATTTTCTTTACTCTTTTCCTAAACCTTTAGGAGTTCTGACTTTACCAGAGTAAGCTAATGAAAAATCTTGTTATGCAAACAGTATTCTTCAATACAAAGAATAAAATAGAGCGGATGGTCCAATTAGTAATTATGAGGTGACAGGTAAAACGCATGTAAGAAAATATTGAAAATCATCAACTTGCAAAGTTGTACAAAACCAAAATCCTCAGTCACCCAAATTTTGAATATTTTATTTCACACTTCAACCTTAATCATACTGAGGATATGTTGTTTAACAATTCATACTTTCTTTTTCTATTATTAGACTTGGATTTATTTTAATTTTTTTTTTCAACGTTTATTTATTTTTTGGGACAGAGAGAGACAGAGCATGAATGGGGGAGGGGCAGAGAGAGAGGGAGACACAGAATCGGAAACAGGCCCCAGGCTCTGAGCCATCAGCTCAGAGCCTGACGCGGGGCTCGAACTCACGGACCGCGAGATCGTGACCTGGCTGAAGTCGGACGCTTAACCGACTGCGCCACCCAGGCGCCCCGACTTGGATTTATTTTAATAGTAATTTAATTTTTAAGGAAAGATGGCATGGCATAGTGCCAGCATAGAGTTATATAGACTGATATTAAAATCCACATTTTTTTTGATACTTTCCCATAATGTAAGCTTGGGTAAGAATTTAACCTTTCCGAGCCAATATTTCTAATTTGTAAAATGCGTTTAATGTTACCACATTCCTCATCTTCCTATGTATATGGAATATGGTTATTCAATTCGTGGTAGCCATCATTACTATTATTAAAATGTAGTTTTACTGCAATGAAATCCTCTTACTGAGATATCCCAGTTCTTCACTAATTTATCTATATGGCTCCTTTTACTCCATTTCCATAGTCCCCTCCCCTAGGACCCCATGACCTAAGGCTAGATTTCTACTGTTCAGAGTAAAATCAGGAAGACTTATTAACCAACAGCAGACATATTCTGAAAACATCACAATATTGGATTTGATAATAACTTGGCTTTTTTTTCCTGAGCTATCTTTCACAAGTAAGCAACTTTCTTAAAGTTGTTATTGCTATAGTGGGTGGAAAGAAGGCTGTTGTTTGCTTTTAACCACATCACAAAAGCTGTTGTATTTGCCATGATGATTGACAACCAACAAACCCAAGTTAAAACAGAGAAGCTGAGCAATCAGCTAAGTGATTTTCTCCACACACCAACCACACAATTACCTATACCTGAGAAACCATTACAGCCATTTCAAATCACTACAGGTCACGTTACATCGCCATAATTCATTTGCAAATAACAAAAACAACAAAATTTAAATACTCTTTCCAGGACTTCCTACTCCCTGTATTTCCCTAGGCTTAACACTCATTAGCTTTGACTGTAATTAACTCTTTTTGTGTCTCTAATAAACTGTCAAGACCATGAAGCTGGATTTCATGTCCTTAATATAGCAGATACATAATAAATATTAATTTAGTCAATAAATTAATGCATAGTCAAATACCTGTTCACATTTTAAACATATTCTTAGTTTCCCTTGTCTGCACATAAATGACAGGATCACATGCTACATATACTGTTCTTCAAACAATAGATATGGTATTCAAAGCACGAATGGTAATCATTATTTTTCACGCTATACTGTAAGCCTCACAAAGGCAAGGACTATGGTTTTGCTCACTTTGTATCTCAGCACTTAGCAGAAAGCCTAGAAAACAGTAGGAACTTAATAACTATTTGTCGAATAGGTAAATTCAGTCAATTCACATGTGCGTTATTTCAGACCTTGGCAGCATACAAACGGTTCATTCAGATATCACAGGAGTAGGAAAGGGCAGTGCCATCATACAGGGAACACTCCAGGATCTACAGAATTGGAGCAGTCAGGCTCCTGACACCTCTGTCAAAGAATCTTAAGATTTGGACAGGCCTGCAGAGATGAAATAGCTCAATCTTCTGATTTCCAAACTGAGGAATCAGTGACCCAAAAAAGGGGGATTTTACTTTGCCAAGTTATTTGCCAGTTATTACTGAGCATGAATTTATACCAGTTTCAGATCTCTTTCTAACACTACCCCCTTGCTGGTGGTACAGGTCAGAAGAAAGGAGAATTAGCTAGAGACTCAAGAACACCAGAAACCTAAACCTGGTGGCAAAAGAATTTCAAATAAATGTCCTGTGAGCCGATCTTTGGAATGCACACCAAAGTCTGACGGGAATACTCGGTTGGGGTATGTTGGGGAGGAGAGGTGGCGGGAAGCAGGGAAAAGCACTTCTGAATGGCTCTGTCTCCATCCGGACTGCCGCAAGTCAAGAGATACTATGGCTGGCACGTCATGAACGTTGTTAACAAACAGATCCAAGTCTTACCACATTATCTTTAGTGCTACCAAAAAGAACAGAACTCACCTCCCACTCTTCTCATTTCTCAAGGATAATTATTTCCAATTGCAATTATCACCATTTCCCTCTTGGTTAGTGATATTAGTGACTATAATTTGCTTCTACCAAATCAGAACATAATGGAAAGCGAAGAATAAATGGGTCAAATCCATCCCATAATCAAGGAGAGAAGAAAAAGATGAAAAGATTTAGTATTTAATCTCCATGCCAGTGAGGACCAAGTTTATCTTGGAGCCCAGGTGATAAGAGACCCAAGTATCTGAATGAACCTGGCGTCATTCTTAAATTCAAACAGTAATTGTCGGTACACCCCTCCCCCCCAACACACACACAAAGGTTAAGATTATGCATTAACGCAAAGTACCTGAACTAATGCTCCGCCCCCTTCCTATCGGAGATTCAAGGACTGGGGTGTGACACCAGCCAACGACAGCCAACCTGAATTGACCCAACAAGATAGGTAAAGAGCAGGTCCAGAGTGGGAAGGATGGCAAAGGTATGTATCAACGGGGCGATTCCATCGAGAACTCCCCCGAGACAGCTGAGACAAGCTGGAAAGGCACAGCTCCCAGTAGACTCCACCAAGCCCAGGCCCGCGTCTGCAGGTTGCCTAGCAACTGGCGTCCCCTTGCTGGGCCTCCAAACCCTTTCTCAAATACAAGGAAAAGATCATTGCCCCAAATCCCTTGCTCCTTCCACGCCACCTCTTGCCCTATACTGAGTGGGGTATTTCCTCGGCCAACCCGGCCAGCGAAGCAAGCGACCCGCGGAGGTACTTGCCGAAGCGAGCTGCTGAAATCCTGTGGCGGCCTCGGAGTCTCATCCGGGGACCAGTTCCAGGGTGCCTCTAAATCCCGGCGGGGAAGTGGAAGAGGATTCACTTATATATGGGCTTCTCAGGCGCAGAGACGGGACCAAAGCCCAGCCGGGATCCACCACGGGTGTTGTATATAATTCTTTTAAGTGAGTTCTCTTTAACAAATTTTGTACAGCCTCTGCCAGGAGTTCAGATCCTAGAGAGATATTATGAGGGGAAAAAATTATGTTATAATGCCCGCTGTCAAGGAACTTGCAATTATCTATTTTTTTATTTAAAAAAAAATTTTTTTAATGTTTATTTGAGAGAGACAGCGGCAGACAGACAGAGCATGAGCAGGGGAGGGGCAGAGAGAGAGGAAGACACAGAATCTGAAGTAGGCTCCAGGCTCTGAGCTTGCAAGCGCAGAGCCTGACATGGGGCTGGAACTCACGAACCGAGAGATCAAGACCTGAGCCAAAGTCGGCGCTTAAGGACTGAGCCTCGCGTCCCAGAACTTGCAATTATTTAAAAAGACAAGACGTTGGGGCGCCTGGGTGGCGAAGCTCACAGGCCGGTTGACTTCAGCTGAACATCTCAACAATGGTCCTGTCGAGAAACAGCTCACGTCAGCCTGGGCTGATGGCTCAGAGCTTGAGCCTGTTTCCGATTCTGTGTCTCCCTCTCTGCCCCTCCCATTCATGTTTGCCTCTCTGTCCCAAAAATAAATAAATGTTGAAAAAAAAAATTTAAAAAAAAAAAAGACAAGACGCAATATAGTATTATAGAGAGATATATACATACAGGTACATAGATATTTGGATATAGGGAGATATAAATTAAAATACCGATACAATGGAAAGGGAACAAAACTAGGAATCAGGAAATTTTCATTTATTTTTTGCTCTGCACACAATGTCTATGGGCATCAACCCTTCATCAATAAAAGGAAAGTTCTGGTTTGAGAGATTTGTCAGGTTCCAAGCAAGGTACGCCCACGCAGGGGTCCAATAATAAAACTGACCTAAAGAAATGACCAAAGCAGGCAGTTTTTATATTTTTGGATGCAAAGAGACAATAAATCTGAAGAATTGACAAAACAAAGAACAAAGAAAGCTGAATTTGGGGAGTTTAGTAAATTATTCTAAACAGATTGCTCTGGGGTAGTAAATTAATAAAAAGTAACAAGGGTTGTTTACATACCCTTCTAGGCTCTTAATTTCTTCTCTGGGGATAAGGATGTCACCTTACATCCTGGTATAGGAACAGTACCTTTCACATGAGAGGTTTATTTCTCGCTTAGAGGAGACAAAGCAGGGAGCAGGTCAGAGTGCTCTCTTGCATTAACTACTTAAGTAACTTTTATTTAAAATAATCAATATAACAAAGTTGCACATTTTGGGGTGGCCTGCCTTTGGCCCCTACATATAAATTGTACTTTTTTGCCAATTTTCAAAACAGTTCCTCACAAAAGTTCTGTTGCTATTATAGCCAGTTAATTTCCTTATACACAAAACAATACTACATTAACCATATGTTATACTATGTTAACCATACGTTATACTATGTTATTGACAGATCCAAAGTAACCTGCATTTGAAGGTCAGCAAACCACCACTGAACACCTACTATCTGCAAATGCATCCAGTGTTAGAAAAAGTAAAGTCTATAAGCCAACCTAGTATTGCCTTTTAAATTGAGTCTAAAATACTTATTGAGCCTCTAGTATGTATATGATGAATAAGATAGTTACTGAAGAAGCTTAAAATTGTATACATTATTAGAAAGTTAAGGAGTGCTCATTTCCTCATTAATTCAGTCAATTAACATTTATTGAGGGCATGTGGGTTCAGTAGCTGCTCTAGGTGCTATAGATATAGAAATAAAGCAAATAAAACACTGTTTCAGTGAAGGTTAAAATCTGAGGCGATAAACATTAAATAAATAAGTAAAGACTATCATCGCAGGTAGCAATTAATGTGATAAAGAAAAATATAAACACTGATAAACACTGATAGATAGAAGGTGTAGGATCATGTATGGCTTCATTGAGGGGAATTTTGCAGACAAAAGTAACAGCAAGTGCAAAATGCTTGTGGGTAGAGCATCCTTGCCACGCTGATGGATGTGGCTGAAGCCAAGGGAGCCAGTGGAGAATGTAGAATAGGGGGCAGAGATTAGCCATGGTCAGATTATGTAGTGCCTTTTGAACCAAACCTAGGAATTTGGATTTTATAAATGTGACAGGAAGTCATTAGAGGGTTTTGAAAAGAGGGGAGGCTGTGATACTATGATTTATGGTAAGAAATATATATTTGATCTTCCTCCAGGTTTCTGGCACAGAGTTCCTAAAACCCTTGGAATTTTCTTAAATGGTGAGTACAAGGAAACTTCTTTTGTTATGGTGATGATGTGACTCTTGGAAAGAACCTAAGAATGGAGGGCAGTTGCCAATGAAGCCGACCATGTGATTAGAGTTGGAAGTTTCCGTCCCACCCTCAGGCCTTCTAAAAGGGTCGGGGGCTACCAGTTGAATTCATCATCCAAGTCCAAGGAGTTTATCAATCATGCCTCTGTGGTGAAGCCTCCATAAGTACCTAAAAGAAGGTTCCCAAAGCACTCTGCTTCCAGAGTGCAACATAGAAATTCTGCCTGAGTAGAAATTCTGCCTGAGTTTCTAACCTTCAGACTCAAGACTCCAACATCAACTCTTACCTGAATCTTCAGCCTGTCAGCTTGCCTTAAAGATTTTAGGCTTTTCAGCCCCCACAATTGTATGAGCCAATTTCTTTAAAATCATGGGTGTACATGTGTGTGTAAAAGGGAGTGGGTGGGAATATATGTCTATTAGTTCTGTTTCTCTGGTAACCCTGACTAATAGGGGAAAAGAGAAAGTAATAAGATATAGGATCATGGGGTAATTTAATGACAGACAATTCCTTCTAATTGGAGTACTTCATAAAAGGAACTAATGATTGGAATCTTATAGGATTCATTTATTAATTTGTTCATTGAATACGGAACTCTGTTGAGATGCTGGGGATACAGTAGTAAAAATAATACTAATAAGCAATCCCTGCCTTATGGGGCTTACATTCAATTGAGGGGAGAAGTGATAATCCAAATAAGTAAGTTACATATGATATGAGGATAAGGGTTATGGGGAAATAAAGGCAGAAAAAAAACAATAGGAAGTGATAGGTGTAGGATGGGTAATGTAAAATACCACTGTGAGGTATTTTGAAAAGATGAAATTTGAGAAAATACTTGAAAGAGGTTATAAACAAGTCATGTAGCTTTCTGGGGGAAAGGGTTCTAGGCAAAAGAAATGAGCGAGTGCCCTGAGGCATCAGTTCCTTCCGCTCTTTTAAGGAATAACAAGGGGGCCCAAGTATCAGAGGAGTGAAAAGGAAGGGAACAGAAGCTGGAGGTGAGATCATAAAAGGGTCTCCTTGTTTAGGGCCTTGAAGGCTACAGTGAGTGATGTGGTTTTGGAGTGGTGGGGTCTGGAGCCCAAGCCAAGAAGGAATTCTTGATTTTATTTTTTTTAAGTTATTATTTTTTATTTTTTTTAACGTTTATTTATTATTGAGAGACAGAGAGACACAGAGCATGAGCAGGGGAGGGGCCAAGAGATGGAGAGACACAGAATCTGAAGCAGGCTCTAGGCTCTGAGCTGTCAGCACAGAGCCTGACGCGGGGCTCAAACTCACAAACTGCGAGATCGTGACCTGAGCCGAAGTCGGACACTCAACCGACTGAGCCACCCAGGCGCCCCATCTTGATTTTATTAAAGCACCGAGACAGGACCAGTGAGCAGAAAGAGCTGGACTGAGGTTGTGAGGAGTGCCTGATTATATACTTGGGAATTGGGAGAGGTGAAGGCAAGGAGAAGTTTCCAAAAGGACATTCATACACTAAAGAGGACTCAAAAGATACTGGAAGCCTAGCTATTGTCAAGCTTAAGTGTTTTGTTTTGTTTTGTTTTGTTTTGTTTTGTTTTGTTTTGTTTTGTTTTGTTTTCTCTAGCAAACCATGAACAATAAGATAATAAGGAGTTCCTGGAGAAATGTTATACTCTGCCTATCTCAAGTATTTGTCAATGGGCTGCAGGTTATAAAGAAATTTTATTTTCCAACCATTTCCTTTTTGCCTTTGTTCCCCACATCAAGGGGAGTTGTGATGGGTGGGGTGGGTGATGTTAGGGCTCCAGGAAACTGAGTCTATAGGTTTCTGGAGGTTAGGCTATTGATAAGATTGCCTTTTTCTTATAATTTACTAAGATATTTGTAAACTGATGGGGACTCTTGTGCTACATGAACACGATCTCTATCAGTTCTGTTGGTTTTTCCCTTTCCTTGGTTCTTGGGCATCCAGGAGTACCTGAGGAATGTCCCACATTTCCCACTTGGGGGAGGTGGGGCAGGGGGGAGTTGGTGGTGGGATTGTGGGACATCAGCTTGCCTTACGCTCCCTCATCTGTGAGGATAGCCGGTGAGGATATTGCTTTGAGTGTCATGGGAAGCCATCAGTTGGAAGGTTTTGAACAGAGTGATCTGACTTATATTAGTAGGATCACTTCGGATGCTGTTGAGACTTAGTATTTAAATATTGGAATATGAAGATAAATATACATAGAGACAATAGAATGAAGTCCTAGAAATGCTGAGAAAATTGTTTTCCCTCTACTGGTCTGGGATTCTTTTTTTTTTTTTTTTTTTTTTTTTTTTTTTTTTAATAGTTTTTTTTTTTTTAATGTTTAACATGTATGTATCACTTAATAAAGTCAAAATCACTCCATATTTCTACCCTTCTTCCAGGAATACAAGGACTTTAGAATAATTCAACTATAACCACTGAGCTCTCCCATCTTCCACATGTTTTTGCCAAGTATTATAGTTTTACCCTGTACTTAAACTCCTTCCTTGAACACTCTTCCTCCAGTAGCCACACACTTCCCTCTTGCATCCCCTTCAAGTATTTGCTCAAAAGTCACCTTCTCAAAGACATCCACACTGATCACTCTA